TAGAACTGGGAGAGGATTTACCTTGTTGTGGCAGCAGAACTTTTGATTATAACCAAAAGATAGGAGAAGAATATGGCCTTAGTGTTGAAGTTGGTAAATATTCTTTCAAATGAGGAAGGGGGAGTCATTTGTTCAGACTTAAACATGGACAATGTGGCTCATATTTTTGACCTATGCATCTGCTCTATCCTCTTGACTTCTGTTTAGTATTGATAAGCCTGATTTCCATGTCTTTTTTCATACCTGGTTTCCTTCTCTACGATCTGGCTCACGTGTTGGTTTTTGCTGTTTTGCTGTTGGACTGACACTTCTGTGCATCTATTTATTTCGTGAAAAAACTCAACATTGTTCTATTGCAGCCCAAACTCTACAAACTTCCGTGGATATACCTTGCCTGATGGTGTATACAGCATAGTCCCATCAGGTGTGAATCAATCTTTCAAAATGCTATCTGTTGATGATGTGCAGAGAATGATATGTTGATGTTAAAGAGAAGTGCATATTTCAACCTCCAACTCTTGCCCTAGTCTAATCTACAGCCCTCAACTGTAACACCGTCTAAGAATCAACCCCGAATCCTTTAAAAACCGGCCAAGATTCAACCCTCCCCTCCCCACACCTGGTTTTGACCTTGTTGACCGGCTTTGACCTGTTGACCATCCAGTCAGCAAGCCACATCAGCAAAAAATCTAAATTCTCAGGAAATAAGTCTATGAAATGAAAAAAAAAGAATCAAGAAAATGAAATCTTTGTAAAAAATCTGTAATATAAAAAAATTCAACTTTCCCAGAATGCTTAGTATTGTTTTCTTGACTCTACTTTTTTTTTCAAAATTTTCTGGAATTTTTACAACATTTTTAAAAAATTGAGCAGAGCATCATGACAAAAAAGTTATTAAAAAATTAATTTATAGTTTTTAATTTTCTAGAATTTTTATATTACATTACAATTTCTTTAATCTTCTAAATTTTATAGATTTTTTTTCTGGAAATTTTGATTTTATCTGACTGGATGGTCAATGGGTCAAAACCGGTCAATTGGGTCAAAGGCAGGATGTGGGGAGGGGAGGGGAGGTTGAATGCTGACCGGTTTTAACAGTCGGGGTTGATTCTTAGACGGTATTATTGTTGAGGGTTGTAGATTAGACTAGGGTAAGAGTTGGGGCCTGAAATATGCACATCTCTCGATTTTATTGTACACGTCATCTTTAGTACTCATATTGATCATTTTATTGCTTCAGGATTTATGGCAGATGTGAATTATTTAAAATCACGTGGATATCCTCAGCCACCACCACTTGTGCTCGAATGTAAGTCATTGCTTTCTATATTGGCGACTTCTATCTTCTATAACCTTTTTCTAGCTATTGCAGTGACATAACTTCCCTTCTTGTTTCCATAACCAGGCGATGGGAGATTGTTTAATACATTTGAAGAGGAATTTGGTCAATTATATGGTTATAAGGACTACAATTGCAATCTTGATCATCGTAGCTTTGGGGAGCAGGTCTGGGCTAAACTTCCAAAGAAAGTTGTTACAAATATTGGCCGGCGTGTTGTCTCACTCTCTTCATACGATGGTGATTTTACAGTCATATGATGATCATTTGTTTATTCTATTATTTATTTCCACTGAATAATGGCCAAAGTTATTTGTGTGTAGGAGATGTGAGATATTTTTCATGTACAGGCCTACTTATAAAGTGGCATAAAAATGGTAAGCCTGTTATCCTTACTTCGGCCAGTTTGGTTAGAAGTCGGGTTGATGAAGACAAGATTGATGAGAAACTGAAGGTTGTTGCTCCTAATTACTTTCCTTGTTCTCTGTAGTGAGATGATGGCTAATTGAGTTGACTTTATCTACCGTTTCAGATTAAAGTACTTCTCCCACCGAAACAGGTCGTTCGTGGGACACTGGAACTGTACCATTCAGATTATAACATTGCTGTCATCAGTCTTCAGAAGCCTCTATATGGTATTCGTCCGGAGAATATTTTCTGCACGGTGGAACGAACACGAAGAGTAGTTGCTATAGGGCGCGAGGCTGAGGATGGATTATTGATGGGGACAATTGGTAAATTGGTCAAGAAGCGTCCGAATGAGAAACTTAACTGCGAAGACCTTAAGCTCTCTACATGTAAAATCAAGAAGGTACACTGGTGAATCCCCCCTCCCCCCTAATGGTAACCGATAATCTGATATAGATAGGTGTGACATAATCTATGTGTGCTTCCCCTGTAATCTATTGATACACATACTTAGTTATCATCATAATCTATCCAAGGCATTACAACTTCTCCATTCTATTTCGTGTACTAGGTTGGGATTGGAGGGCCCCTTGTTAATTTTGATAATGGGTATTTTGTTGGCATGAACTTCTATGGTGAAACTGGTGTAACTCCTTACCTGCCGAGGGCAATCATCGTGGAAGTTTTAAGCGGGATTGATCTCCCATCTCAAAGGTACATCTTTCCCTGTTTTGTTGTCTCATTTATATCTGTCTCGGGTTCTTGTTGTCTAGATATATATCCATTCGGGGTGCTTGCATTAATATTTTCTTTCTTTCTATGACAAAGAGGAATGGACCATGCCACTGACATAATGGGTGCCGCAACAGTTAAGAAAAACAGGTATTTGTGCTGTTTCGCACTGCAAATTCATTTAGTATTTGTTTTAACATGAATTTGCACTGAAAAGAATTTGGAGGACAGGTGGCCGGTGCCTAAGCCATATTGGTACCATCCCCTATTCGATGATGATGCTCCGTTGCATTTTTATGGAAGGCAACTCCAGTAGTGCTATACTATGTCTACCGTTGCCCTCATCTCGTTGTCCCAGTTCCACTTGCCTAGCAAGTATTTCAAGGTGATACTTTGTAGATTTATTACTCCCCCGATAGTCAGCGACAATTAATATGGATCAGAGGAAGTATATTATTATGGTGTTATGATGGTTCTGCATAATTAAGAATTAGAACAAAGAAGCTGCAGACACTCGTCTCGATTGTTGTCACCTTGACTTTGTTTGACATGGACTTCTAGTTATTATTTTTGTGCATGTGGTGATGCCAACTGTGGATATATGCTTGAATGATGAAATACTCAAGACAAGATATCTTTCTTTTTAATTTATTTAGTGAGCACCCCAAATTGTGTCTTAACTTTCTAGAAGACAGAGGGTAAAGCTCAAGAATATAGGCAAGCTCCCACCACATGCCGGTGAGTAGCGAACAACACTCCAACTCGAACGCACACAATACAACTCCAACGCATAAGGGCATTGCCCTGCACTGGCCAACAAGGATGCGCCTCGACTGAGGTCAGTCACCTTCAAAGAGCAATAACTCAAAACAAAATCTCCTTGCCAATGCACCAACCACTCTTGATTGCTGAAAAGAGTTGGGGGGTGGGTGGCAAACTAGGACGACCTCAAGTAAGTCGTCGTACTGGACTTACCCGTGACATCGTACATAGTGTCCTACTGTCCTTGACGAACAATCCAAAACTTACCCGTGACATCATACATAGTGTCCTTGACGAACAATCCAGAACCGCGATGAACACCAAAGGAACACGAACAAAGACCTCTCTCCCAAGAGAGGAACGATGTCAAGGACGTCACCATCGCTGATGCGAATCAGAATCTAGACTTCTGCGTAGAGATAACCAAACAAGTGAGAGAGAGAGCAAAGTGCCGACACACCACATCGTCGCCTCCAAGAAAGGGAAACGTCATCCACAGTTGTTGTCATCGATGGCATTGACCAAACAGGAGTATCCAAATCATCTCACCTACATCCCCGCCCACCGAAATGGGGCGCACCATCCATGTTGTTTCACTCCGCCGCCATTGCCGCAACACCTAGCAGATGAAGCTGCATCGCCTCGCCCCAGCAACACCACCGTAAAAAAACAACCAACACCTCCACACCTAGCCACCACTGCAACCATCTACATCGCCATGGTGCCAAGCAGCCGTCAAGGCCCGACGACTCCACAACACAATCTAACACCATGGTCACCTCGAAGACGCCCCACAAGGCCAGATCGAACCCGCCGCACCGTCCAGAGTTGCGGCCAACCACCAGCAGGCCCTTGCAGGAAACACCACATGTTGTGCCAACGGTGGCCCCCAGACCCTACAAACGTCGGAGCACCAGGCCACACCCATGGCCAAGCCAGCGACACTATAGCTTGCCAAATGGCCCGGGCCAACCAGGCCGGCCCGCGAGCACGCCGACACGGTCCACCATGGGCCACGACACGCGGCAGCCCTGGGCCATGCTTGGACTGCTAGGCTGAGCACGCGGGCCGGCACGACCCGACCCGATTATCTTATAGGCTAAAAACTCTCAGTGCGTCAAATAGTAGGCAGACTAGTGGGCCTGGCGTGCCGGTGGGCCGGCCCAATTAGCAGATGGACCGTGCCTGTCCTGCAGGCTGCAGCACATGGGCCGGCACGACATGACCCGTATAATAATCGTGCCTCGGCGGGTCGGGTCGTGCCAGGCACGATTAGGATAGCTAGGTCGGGCCATGTCAGGCCTGGCCGCCCCGTTTCACCAGCTATGAGCGACACCGCACACCAACAGGCTCGCCCGAGACCATATCAGGCCAGGTCGTCCAGCCACCACGAAACGCGCCGCCACCGGCCTTTGCGCTCTGTCACGTCACATTTGCGAGCTCCCTGCACCATATTGTGCTTGCCTCCGCACCACACGCCAGCTCAGCCGGAGAAGCAACCCCTCACAGGCCCTACTTCGGGTGAGAGGAAATGATCCCGCCGCCGACACACCCCGCGCGGCGAGAGGAGTGGTGGGGAGGGGCGGTGCCCGGTGGCTAGGGTTGTGCACCCGGGTCGCCCATCGAACGCGGGGCATTTCTTTTCTTTTTACTTCGTCTATTTGATGGACCTGCGTGTTTCAAGACAAGATATCCATGTTCAGTTTTTTCTAAAACAACTAGGGTGCCAATAAGCAAGGCATGACTTTCTCTTATTTAGAAAACCAGAGATAACGAACACTGCTGATCGAAAGATTTGGAACTGTCACTAGTAAAAAAAGGACCTATAGTCCCGGTTCGTAAGGGCCATTTGTCCCGGTTTTTGAACCGGGGCTAAAGTGTCGGTACTAATGCCCTAAACCTTTAGTCCCGGTTCTTGCATAAACCGGGACAGATGGGCCTCCAAGTGGCTGGTGCGGCGAGCCCAGGCAGGAGGCCCTTTGGTCCTGGTTGGTGGCACCAACCGGAACCAATAGGCATCCACGCGTCAGCATTTCAGGTGCTGGGATTTTTGTTTTTCTTGAGGGGGGGGGGTTAGGGGGTTTTGGGGGGTTAATTTATGTGTTTCATATATTGTGTTAGCTAGCTAATTAATAGAAAGAAGTGTCCTCTCTTATCTCCGTGCTTGGTCGACGCTACGTACTATACGTATAGAGAGGACTAGACACGCTAGCTAGTAAGCAAATGAAGGAAACAGAAGATCATCCTGAACATATGCATAGAGAGAAGTGATATCGACCACCTCTCCTTCTCTAAGAGTTTGGTCGAACAACAGTTCTCGTATATCTATCCGACGCTACATACTGGCTACATATATACAATATAATTATCTCTTACAATATAATCTCCTAATTCCAAATGAACTCAGGGTCCACATGGTATTCTCCGTCTTTAGCGATCACGTGGTCAAGAAAGAATGCCGCCAATTCCTCTTGAATTCTTCGCATACGATCTGGGGGTGGAGTTCACCCCGCATCTGAAATATCTAATTTGAAGAAGGGGGTCAATACATATATATGAATAAATGAAACCGAACACAAATGATGGTAATAAAATAAAATTGTGAATATTATTATTTACGCACTTCATATTGTTTGTCAGAGTAGCCCCGCTCACGGGTCGTGTGGCGGATGGACTCGCAAATGTAGTATCCACAGTAATTATTCCCTTGTTCCTGCCAAAACCACTTTACAAGAAATAGAGGTCAATCAAACTAATAATTAATTAGCAAGCATGCTAAATGGTATTGATGAAACTAGCGTTTGAATCACTAGGAGATGCGTGGAACATGTGAATTGCAGCTTCTTCGGCAGTCCCGGAGTTTCTGAGGTGAATTTTTTCCAAACCCTGCCAGACAAAGAAAACAATTACTTGATATCAGGAAATGAACAAAAAGTTGCCGATATGGTGCGATAATGATCGATTTAACTTACTTCTCTAGAATTTCAGTCATGTCCGCATACTCCTTGGGATCTTTTTGTCTTGAGTCTAAGACGGTTACTGTCCCTGCTCAAGCTTAATCTCTAGGAGAATATAGTGGAAGCTGCGCACGCATGCATAACTCATCAATTACATTACTATAACCTCGACTAATAAGGGAAACCAAATATACACAAGACAGTAACACTCACTTGAATTTGTAAGAGAAGAGTATTATAGCTTTGTTTTGATTTAATACAAACGATTGTAGCAGCTTGGCCTCGGTATCTCTGGCCTGAGATTTAACCATATATGCATCTATGAGATTTGTGTTAGTGAACCCAATATCACCGATTTGTCGTTTCTTCAATTCGGCGATCTTCAATCTGCATAATATAGTGAGGATAATTAAAAATACATGCAATGAAAGAGCTGACCTATATATAGAGACTTAATGACAGAAGTAGTACTGTACTTACAGGCAGTAGCAAGTGATCATTAATTTATCGAGGGCCTTTAGATTGAAAAACGCGAAGAACTCCTCAAATGGAACATTTAGTAGTTCAATTCCAACGAGGTCATGCTCCTCTCTGACTCTCAGCGTCAAAATATTCGTCCCCTCAGACTCTCTACAGGTTTTCATGTACCAATCATGGAATCTGAACATCATCGTTGGTAGAGATCTTTCATCTTTGACGCGAGGCTTCCCGTACACGTATTTGTGTTCGTCCACCTCCAAGAAATCATAATGTACATCGTTAGGCAGGTAATCTTCAGGATTGTTATAACCGGGCACCATCCCGCCGGGAACATTAGCGACGATATCGCTAGACACCTGGAGCGGGGGGAACGATTGGTTCGCTTGTTCGCTGAGCTGGGCAACTTTTTTCCTAGCTCGTCGTTGACCACTGATAGTACTTCCCGACCGCGACGCTTCCACAAATGACTTTGTAAGAATGCGCTCATAGTTGCCTTTCGCCGGAGACTTTGGCGGTTTCTTCGGGGCAGCCAGAGTATGCTTCGCTTTTACCGGATCTATCTTCTCCTCCGGAGGTGGATGTATCTTTGCTTTCACCCCTTCAAAGAAGTTATTCACTTCGGCTTGCACGATCTGCGTATTTTCCTCCACGGTCCTCTCGTATGGTAACTTCTCTAGAGTCTTGAGAGAAGGACCGTATTTGTATTGCCTCCCGGCTCTGGCTGTGCTGCTAGATGCCGGAGCAGACGGAGCAGCTGCGACTGTCTTTCCTTTCTTATGAGGCGGAGGCGAAGGACTACGACGCGCCGGAGCAGCCGGAGCGGCGGTGGGTCTCTTGATCCGCCCTTGTTGACGAGGCGGAGAAGGAAGAGGTTGGCTGCTCAGGCGCGCCGGCGCAGGCGGAGAAGGAGGCGGAGTGCCGCCACGCGCCGGAGAAGGAGGCTGAGTGCCCTGATCACTCGCCAGAGGAGGAGGCAGATTGCCCTGACTCGCCGGAGGAGGAGGAGGAGGCGAAGGTGTCCAGTTCGGAAGGTTGATGAGCTCCTTCCGCCATAGGCATGGAGTCTTCAGAGAAGAACCCATCCGAATCTCCCCTTCACCCGTAGGGTGGTCAAGCT